AAATAAGGAAAATGACACTACCGAGCTGATTTTACTGAACGTTCGGTAATCGGATACATATCTATTAGGTTAGGTAGCAACAATTTTTATAATTGAATGATTCAATTATGTTCCATAAATAGTGGTTCGTTGCAATTCGGTTATCGGAATGAACTCAGCCTTGCCTAGCATACCACTTTCAGCACCAAAAGATAAAGGCTATCCATTTTTAATCAAGAGCAATTGCCAATTAGACATTTTTGCCCTCACCATCAATTAAGCTAATGACAAAAAATCACAAATATTTATTTATTCGTTGTCTACAAAGTTTACAATATCTAAGACTAAATCTTAATTAAACTTGATACATGGGTCAATAGAAAAACCAAAAATTGAAAAGGTGGTGTACAAACAACTATTTTATTAAGGTATAATTCATTCTCAATAATTGATTCTCATTGGTAATATGATATTATATCTTTTAAACTGTTTTCATTATAAACCATCCTATTAAGTAGTATCAAATTTTATGTTCATTAATCCTCATACCGTACATGTTAAATTATACTTTTGATTTAAGAAAGAAAAAATGCATATGAAACTTTTCTTGAACTATTCATTCAAACTTCAAAGGTTACATAAACATCAAAACACCAAATTAATTAACCAAAATTAAGTTACTCAAGTTTATTTTGATTAATAAAATTATCATCTTTACTTTTTAAAAAATAATGACAAAAATAAATATCATGCATGTGGCATTAACTAGTACATACAAAATCATGTACTTGTAGATGGATGGGAGTGTAAATGCCAAAGAGGCAAAGAGCAAAGCCATTTCTGGTTACAATATATTTTAATACTATATGCATAATTGAACAATTAATAACTAATTAAGTGTACTATTATCAATTAAATTTGAGAAATAGTTTGTCAAACTTCTTCATCATACAACTTTAACAAGTTTACATCCAGATGATTGAGCATGATTCAAACTGTAAAATCAAACCTTAGAAATGAACTCTCATAATATTTGAAACAGTTCACCCACAAATTTAACTCACTTTGAGCCATTCACTATATTCTCTTTACACTGTCACCATGAACCGTGACGAATCCTTCGCTTGAAAGAGTAGCCAATGCATTTCGAAGCTGGTAAATAAATAAAAAAATAAAAAAAAAAAAACACACACAAAAAGACATTCCATTAGAGCATATCTTTTGTATAAAATAGAAAATTACAAAGAGGATACTTGGAAAGGGAAAAGAACTCACATCACTAAGGTGGATTTCAGAAGCATTATTATTCTGCTTCTTCAGCTCTTCAAGTAACTACAAATAACAGAATTCAGTAAAATTAGCTATACAGTGGATTAAGTTGACGCAGAAGACAGAATAATGACTTAATTTACAAACTAGAATACAAAACAAACCTCCAACAGACGAATTGAAGGCCCTCCAAGTTGCATTTTCTCCATAATTATGTTGCGTGTGTTTGAAACCAAGTTTTCCCGTCTCATCCTTTCACTTGCAGAAACCCCAGTTGTAATGAGATCCATATCAATGGTTCCTGCTCAACATTATCAAATTATTTAGCCCCACTATGTTCACAAAGACAAATTGGTAAAAATTAATTACAATGTTCGCGAAAGCTAATCTTGAGGTGAAAATTTTAGATAACCTTAAGGTATTACAAATGTGCTTTCATCAAAAAGCTGAATAAACAAATATTAAAAATAAATGTTTTTTTTATATATATATTCAGCCATAGTATTATCTATATTAGACCAAATCGTGAGAGTATCACAATGATGATCCTTTATGATTAACAAAGTAATCATTGTATAACCACAGTTATTACACTCTTTGTTTTATTATGACTTAAAGAGGTGAAATTACTACATAACAGGAACGGGCACAGAGGTGTTAATAAGATATTCAAGTCGACTATGAATAAATAAAAATGGAAATGTGGAAAAAAAATAAAATCACCCGTTGAATGGTCTGTTGCAGACTGTTGCATTGCCACCTCGAGTAGCCTGAAAGCCTCGGTTACATCACTCTTTTCAACCTGTAAGTGCAAGATTGCAATTAAATCGTCAACATCAACCAAAGTTGAAATCAGGATCACTAAAAAGAGCTCAACCAACCACTTCCGATAACCGAATTCGGGCCAGAGCTTCACCAAGGCGTATCAAACTTTCTATTTGCCTTGGGGTTGCAGTTATGACCTGTCGACATAAAATTCAAATGTGAAAAAAGAATAAAATCAATAGCTACAACACATGCGAGCATAAAAAACTTGACATAATATTATAACCTTTTTACTGCTTCCAGGGAAATTTCCTCTTCTTCTCATCTCCACATATCCTCTAGTCAACTCTTCAGCAGCCTCATCTGATAACTGTGGATGAATATGCTGTCTTGCATAGCTTACATAAGCAGTTAAGGTTGGCAGGTCGATCACATCCTGCTCTGAACTCTGTAAGCAAAAGGCAATGTTGAATATGTTCAAATGCAAATCAGCAGAATAAACCATTAAACAAAGTAGACTAGAGAAAGAAAAGATTCAAACATCAGGATCATCAAAGTGTAGTGCCACAATGTGCTTTGCAAGGCGCCTATCTGTCTGCTCGTCTGCCTTGTCAAGAATTAAATAGATCAAATCAAACCTGATATTAAAGGAAACACAAGTCACTGTAAATAGCAGCTCTAATGACACTTAAAATTAAGCGATCAAGCAAGATTGTATGCATATCAAGTTAATTAGCCACTGCAAGTGGTATTATTTTTCGAAATCGAATAATAGAAGATTAAATAGTAACACATTAATTGAGGGCCAAAATAACAGAAGATTATTTGTACCAAAGAATAACCTTAAAATACAAAATCTTAACAGTCTTTACCTGGACAACAAAGTAGGAGGAAGGTGAATATTTTCGATCACAGACAAACGAGGGTTGTAACGTGAACCAATTGGATTAGCACAAGCCAGTACTGAAGTTCTTGCATTTAGGGAAGCAATAATCCCTGCCTTAGCAATTGAAACAGTTTGTTGTTCCATAACCTGATGGAAAGGTCTCATTAGAAATACAATCAAAATAACCAGGAAAAAGAAAAGGATAGCAATTTGTTGTCAAACAACAGCTCAGGAGAAACCACATTTTGATACCCAAAAAATAAAAAATACACAGCCACTTTGGAAAGTAAATATCTATTATTATAAACTTAAATAGAATTAGAAAATAAATATTTACTTTGAATCATACCTCATGTAACATGCTTCTTGCATTGTCAGACATTTTATCAAACTCATCAATGCAACAGATGCCCCTGTCACTCAGAACCAAGGCCCCACTCTCCAGGACCTATAAAAAGACATTTTTCCCAGTAAACTCACCTTTTTCATGGTTGAATGAATAATAGACGGTGGAATAACAAAATACCAAATTCACTCACCGTTTCACCAGTCTCAGGATCTTTTGTGACATAAGCAGTCAATCCCACTGCAGAACTTCCTCGTCCACTGGTATAGATACCACGAGGAGAGAGCTTGTGGATGTACTGGAGCAGTTGAGATTTGCTAGTTCCAGGATCCCCAACAAGAAGAATATTTATATCACCTCTGAAACTAGCACCAGATGGCAAACTCAATGCATTCCCGCCAAAGAGCTGTTTTGGAGGGCCATTTTAATTAGCAATAAAACAAATTCTGACAAAGTTGGCATGAAACTGAAACCCATCAATTACAAAACTATCAATTGGCTTGAGATGTGCACCTGGCAGAGAAGACCTTTCTTGACATCATCCAACTCCCATATGTTTGGTGCTAAAGATCTAGTCAATCTTTCATATATATCAGGCTGTCTAGATAGCTCCCTTAGTTTCTCGACCTGCAATATGCAAAAGAAACAGTAAACTCATAACACAATGTAAGGGCTAATGGTTTTATTCGTAATTTGGTCACTTGACTACCTTATCATCATCATTAAGAATTGATGCATTATCAATATTACTTTCTGAGTTTTCAGTTACTGAATCCTCCACATACATTCTTGACTTGTCCGAAGTCTTTAGATGAAGGCAATCAATGTAAGTCTGGAAACAACAGAAATCACTGAATACATTTTAGGCACTTCAAATGAAGATATCATATACACATCTCCAGCATTTGAACAAAATCTCAATTTAGCACTCAGTAAAATGACACTAGTGAAGCTAGAGGTGCTTGCCTTGAATATTGACTTCACAGTCCTCTGTGTTTGACCAATTCTAACACTCATAGCCCTGTAGATTCCAGTAACCTAACAGCAATAACAGAAACTTAGTCCAGATTGCATACTGCAATATGTCCTTCAATAAAATATATACAGTCTCACCTCAACTCTGTCACCTGGTTTGCCAGCATCGACTAGCTTGTCATGCATCAACAAGCTCACTGTGTGTGGTGTTCCTCCCTCAGGTATCTCATCTGGTGTCTCTTGAAGTCTCACAATTTGTTTATCAGCAAATCTGTTTTTTTTTTATGTAATTATAACGCTGATAAAGAAAATTCAACAATGTCTAGCTCACTGTTTAATATTCGGTAGGAAAATAATTGGTTCCACAAAAAAAAAGGTCCAAAAACAAGGAACACTAGTGGAGTAAACATGGCTAAGCTTTTAAAAACTCAATACCAGTACTCGGATTTAACATGGAATCCAACTATTTAAAGTAAAAGGAAGGGAAAATATCAGAATGTGACCACCCAATACAAACCATGTAACCAAACAAGCTAATTAAATTCATTACCTGCACCGATTATGAACAAGGGTCATGGAGTTTTTAGAAAGACATTCTTGCCTTGCACAAACTGTCGGCTCGTCAATTCTTCCTAAAAATTTCAAGCAAAGCAAACCATAAAAAGTTAAACCAAAACCCATCATACGTCTCGAGTTATCTACAACCTAAATCCAGCAATTGCATTTATTTACCTCCATTAACGACAATAGGGTCACAGTAATAACCACATACAAGACATCTGAAGACAGCTTCCCTAATCTCAGGTATAATGGAGCTACACCGGATAATCATCCCTTTCAAAGAGACCATCTTCTCAACATCTAATCACAAAACATAGAAATACACCCTCATTACGCCATCTATATTGGAATTTAACATAAAACAACCACAAAGAGGGAGAGAGAGAGACAGAGAGAGAAGGTACACTAACCAGAAGGGTTCAAATTTCTGAGCGAAGTTGAAGTCTTGAGATTGAAAACCCTGACTTGTATATGCTTCCCAAAAGCCTCATTGATCTTACTAACCATTTCCATCAATGCAATGTCGAAAATTGCAAGAACTTCAAGTGGATACCTAACCATCTTTGTATACAGGTCACCATCGTAATCAAATACATCGTGTGCATCAATGTCAATTGAATCCCCCTCAGTTTCAATCACATGGTTAATAGCTCTCATATACTTCCCCTCCTCGATCTGCTCAGGATTTTCCCTAAAATTTCTCAAAAACCTTAAAAATGCAGCATTAACATCGTGAACGCTGATGTTTGTGCCCCACACGTACATGGCCGGGGCCTCATCATCTCCCTCGTCATCCTCGGAGGTTGGTGGCACGCCGTCGGTCGAGGACGGCGTGGCAGCAGCACCTGGGGTGCCAAATGGCCGCCTACGCCGACTACGTGGGGTGCTTTTATGGCCGATCGGAGTAGAACTTTTGCCGGAATCCTGCGGGAGTGGAGATGGCGGGAGTGGAGATGGAGTGGCGTAGGAGGTTTGACGGTTGCGTTTTCTGCGCCCAGGGCTCGAGCCCGTGTTGCTGATTGGGCTTGTGGCCCAGGGATCTGGAGAAGAATCTGAAGCCATAGTCCTCACCGTGCCTGCCTGAGAGAGAGATTAGGGTTAGGAAAAATGGGGATGGTGATGTTCTTAACTGAAGGATTTGGCGGGAAAATGCAGGGTCTCAATGGCGCCAAAAGATGGGGACCGCGTTGGGCTTTTTTGTTGCGCATTATATATATATATATATTTTTTGGCTGGCCTTTGGTTCTACTAAAGGCCCAATTATAGGCCGAATCATGGCAAAAATACGGCCAATTTACACGCCTCCTACACAATTTGCAAATAATAGCAACACTACGAGTAACTGCAAAATTTTAGCAACCATACGAAATGAATGTCTTTTATTTGTATTTAAGCAAAGATTATCTGTTACCAAACCTATACAGATTATGTTCCCTTTTTTAAGGA